CTGACAAAAGTATTTCAGTTCATGTTGAGAAATTTAACTCTTTATCACTCTAGACTTCAGACCATAAAATAAAGAATGACTGATGCCGCATAAAAGTTGAAAAAAATTCTAACTATAATATCAGTTTGGGAGGTGAATCAATTATAGGAGGATAGTGTGCTGCTCCTTGTTGGGTGTTTTCAAATAGTGGCTGGACTGAATAATCTCTCCTGCTGGAAATATTCTTATGTGTATTTCTACACCACACATGGAGCTAAACGGCTAAATGGCTCTTCTAGCTTAAGGGATTCTGTAACTAGTTCAGCATTATAATCAAATAAGAAGCAAAGTTTAAATATGTTAACTGTTGTGTAAACAAAATCTTAGCTTCAGTTACACGTCACACCATTAATAAATTCAATTACTTGGGACCAGTGATAGGTTTCAAATCCCGTTCCAACCAGTACAGTTGGAACGGGCCTGGCAGCATCCTCATATATGCATGCAGGGTGCATGCACACAGGGTGCATATGCGTCTTAGCGCCTTCATAATGCTCCAGCTGCTCCGCGAAGTGTTGCGCAGGTGCTGTACTCGCCATGTCCGTGTGTGGAAGCACAGAAGCCTTAAAACAGGTAAGGAGCTCGGGTGGGCTCACCAGAGCACCGTACCGGAACGGTATCCGGTGCGTCGTGCTGGCTTGGGACCCAAATATCTGCAAGCATCTAAAGGTTTTCAGACCTCTCACTCAGGAAGAATTGACAAAACACAAAGAATGGGAAGTAAACAGGGATGCCCCAAAATCAGCTGTTGTGATAACCATTAGGTTTGTACCATTGATCTGAAGATGTTTTTAGAAACTGCACTCTACATGGTATTGAGATTTACCTGGCATTATGGATAAAGAAGATAGTGCTCTGATAATCCAAAGCCTTTACCTTGCCTTGTTCCTATTTCTCGCCATCAGTAAACTTGACAGTCTCCCAGCCAGCCAAAACACTAAGGCTGGAGACAGGCTTCTATTAAAAAATCTGAGTATAATTTTTTACGATACCAGTGAAGCCAGAGATTAATTTGGAATGTTTCCCAGAAGTCAAAACCACAACTCATACAAATAAAACATAGCCTTGGTTTCCTTGTTAAAGGCAGGGAAGGTAGCTCAAAGGTGTTTTTTCAAAAGACAACTGGACTGTTTTATTTCCTTTACTGATGAAATGTCTTTGTATATTAGTAGCTCCCGTTAATAGTTATGTTGTTGGCTTAACTTCTGAGCTTGGCGATTTGGTTGCAAACATTTCGTCCCCATTCAAGGAGACATCTTCAGTGCACTTTGGATTGTGCTTGTCTGGGGGAAGCCCTGGCCTTTAAATACCTTTCTGAGTCCTGGTCTGATTTCAGGCTGTGTGATTGGCTGTCATAGTCCTTGGTTTTAAGTACCATCTGTGTGATGTAATTAGTGCTGGTGGTGTTCAGATTTTTTCTGATGTTGTCATGGTCTGGTTTCCAGTTGATTTGATCGGCTGGGCTGCGTGCAATGACAATAAACTAAACTAAACTTTATCTCCTTGACTTCGCTTGGGTTACAACTATAGTCCCGGTTTGATCGAATTTGTGTCCTTTTGAGTCTTTGTGGAAAGCCATGAGGAATAGAAGGTCATCATGTCTCTTGGTGGCCAGGAGGTGTTTGTGCAGTTTGGTTGATAGTTTTCTTTCCTTTTTCTTTCCTTTTTCTTTCCTCTTTCTTTCTTCTTTCTTTCTTTCTTTTCTTTTCTTTGGCTAACATAGTTCTTCTCACAGTTGCAACCTTCTATCCCTCATGTCCATCCATGAAAATTCAACAAGGTTCTTCCCTTGTTTTATCCTATAACATTAAATTCAATCTAGGGAAGTAGATCTGATCTAGGAATCAGAAACAATGATTGTTCCAAGATTCTCCAATAAGCTTCATTTCAATTAAAGTCAAAAGTCCCCAGCAGAATCAAACTAACANCATTTAGCGACCATTTTCAGTTACAATTTATATTTGTAAATTGTAGTTATGTTGAAATAAAAAAATATTACAATACTATTTTTGCGTTGTATGAAATTTTTTGTTGCTCCGTATAAAATTTTTAATCAAACCCCCCCCCCCCGGATCAAAGGTGTTCCTCTTTACCAATCTGAAAATCTGGTCACCTTATCTTTGTATCATACTTAAAACTTTTGGCCAGGACTTATGTAAAAAACGAAGCGCTTTCTTGCTTCAAGGTCCCTTTTATACCACGGGTGCTGCTGGGAATTGTAGTTTGAATGCAATGTTAGAGAGGGTCATGATTGCCAGTGAAACGACACTCCCTCTCCACGAGGTATTGCTCTGCATTCCCCACCTCTTCCGGGCTCGCAGAGACGAAGGGGCGTAGGCAGCGCACTTTCCTGGTTTGGCGCCGATCTGGACGGCAGCTGAAGGAACTGGGCCCCCGCTGTCATGTCTTTTCTGCTGCGCGGGGTTCGCCCCCTGGGCGCCCGGGGTTTCAGTCTCCGATCCGGCCCGCGTTGCTCCAGGATGTTCGGTTCGGGCTCCTTGGAATCCCCGCCGGGCGGCTCTTCCCGTCGGGGTGATGGTCGGTGGCAGCGATCAGCGTTCGCCTGGACTGCGGGAGCCACAGCGGTGCTGGCCGGGCTGGGACTGGTGCGGCGGGCGGAGATGAAGGAGCAGCCTCGGCGGCAGCAGCAGCAGCAAATACAACCGGAAAAGCCGTGGGGAAAGGAGGAGGAGGAGGATCTGGCGAGGCTGTGCGAGAGCTTCATGGCTCCTCCGGTGAGCGGACTGCGAGAGCTGCGCGACCGGCGGGGAGACATGCGAAGTCGCATGGAGCTGCTCATCATGGAGGCGCAGAGCCAGGTGTGCAAGGCGCTGGCCCAGGTCGACCGCGGCGCCGCTTTCACCGTGGACCGCTGGGAAAGGAAGGAAGGTGACCCGAATTCCGGGGTAGAGTGGGGACGCATTCCTTTCTCGGGGGACGCTGGCTGGCACCTCTGCAGGTTGGAACTAATTCGGAATAATTGCCCCTGCCTGCCGGTGTGGGACTGAATTTGGCTAGATCTAAAAACTGGCCTCTTCACTTCCTCATAAGTTTCATTGACTAGAGTAGAGGAGCCTTCTTATTTTCCCTTTAGCATGTTCCCAGATTGTAATAAACACCTCAAAGGTCTCAGTTATTTAGAGACTTCTTTTTATTTCATTGTAAAAACAAGCAGACAAAGCAACATGGAAGTGTCCAAGATTCTGCATGACCAAGAGATAGATGTGAAAAGGGCTAAGGACTTGGAGCATAGCAAAAGCTGCTTCAAGGATCTTCAGGAATACAAAATATGTGTTGCCAGCTGGGTAGTGGGAACCCTACCTTAGCCATAGAGAGTGGTCTTAGTTAATACTTCCATAAGAGGTAACTAGGTAACCTCAAATCTAAATATTTTTAAAGCCTTGCAAGAAGATAGAAGCAAAACATTTATGTATTTTGTAGATGGAGAACCATGTTGGTTTATGATGCCAAAAAAATAATAATCAACAACCAGGAAGATTCTGGTAACACCTTTACAACTAATAAATTTAATTTAAAAGGCATGGATGAGGTGCAGCTCATGATAATGTATGCCTTTCAATACTTTTTTACTTGGAAAAGGTGCTACCAGAAATTGGTATTGTTACTAAGAAAACTACATGGTCTATCCTATAGAGCCTAACATCCTTTCTTTAATCTATATGAAGTGATTAAATCTAGATTGATGTAAATAATTTGTCAGATTCTTGCGCTGCCTTCTCTGGAGCTCTAAGCAAAATTCCTTTCTCTAATTTTTCTCCACAACCTGAGAGGTAGCCTGGGCTGGAAAGATCCACTGGTTCAAAATCACCCAGAGAAGGTGTATTTGAACCTAGATCTCCCAGGTTGAGGTCCATCCCCTCAACTACTATATCACGCTGACTCTATGGATTTGTGTATCCTTGTATCTGTAATACAAAATTTGCTATAAAAACCTGCTTTTGTTATGAAATACCACAGTAATACTTCGTTTGTGTGCTATTGATTGCAGCACTGCCTCTACCCTCTTTTATCTGCCATGTAAAGGCAAAAGGTATATTATTACCCTGCCATGTTTACAGATGAATAAAGGAATCAGTGATATGTCATATTTCAGAAAACCCAACTGATATTGCTTAGATATTACTGAAGGACATTTAAATAGTATCAACAAAATTTATGTCTAGTATTTTTTACTAAGCATAATTTCATATCTTTTAATATACAGCTTTAGTGAGCCAGTTTGGTGTAGTGGTTAAGGTATCAGCCTATAAACCAGAAGACCATTAGAAAGAAAGCCACTTGGTGGTCTTGGGCTACACATTCTCTCTTGGCCCTAGGAAGGACAGTTGCAAACTACTTCTGAAATATTGCCAAGAGACAATAACTAGAAGAAAGTGACACTGGTAGACTTTGAGTGAAAAGTACATTTTTCTATATATAAGCAAGGACTGCTTTATTGCAAAAAAGAAATGTTTGTCTCAGGGTATCAGCTCATACAGTGTTATTGCTAAATAAAATATATTTGCTTATAAACAATTGGCCCTTTGAGTAATTGAGAGACAGACTATCATGTACAACTTGTCTTATGCTTCAGCTGCTATGCTGCTAGGAAAAGAGCGGAATAGAATATGCCTGACCTCTACTTTTATTATTTTGGCATTGTGGCAGTAAAATCTTCAACTTTCCCCCCAAACGAAGCAAAGAAAAAAACTTCCATTGGTTCTGAACAAATAAACCAGATCTTGTCACTGAAGCTGCCAATCCATCAGTTTTACCTTCATTAGTTCTCACTTGAATTACACACACATCCTAGTATCCTCTTAAAATTAATTGCTGGGAGGCCATAGCAAAAAGAACTTGATCCTTTGCGTCTCTTGTAATCCAATTGCTACTTTTGGCAAATAATATGCTGTGGAACGATCTGCATTCAAAAATAAAGGATCATAGATAGCTGTATGAACAGGTCTATAATAGGAAAAGTATTCTAAAGTTCGTAAATCAGTTAGCCGTTGAAATAATTCCTTTGCTGCTTTATTTAACAGGTGGTGGAGGCATCAGCTGTGTCCTTCAGGATGGCGAAATCTTTGAGAAGGCTGGTGTCAATGTTTCAGTTGTTTTTGGACATCTTTCTGAAGAAGCAGCTCAGCAGATGAGAAGCAGGGGAAAATCTCTAAAAAGTGGTAAGGCTTCATACATGAAATCTGCTAAACAATCTAACAACTTTTGGGTTAAACAAAAAGTGAATCTAATCCATCATCCAGCTGCCCATAGAGGCTAGGCACAAGTCCACTATACAAGTATTCTTTGAATGTAAATAGTTATTTGTGTACTAATATCAAAGACAACCTCGCTGAATTCAATGTGATTTCTCCTGGTTAATGAGGACCATTGCAAAATTTTGACACAAATATATGACGTTTTCTCAGATCTTTTACAGACTCTATGTATTCTGAACAGCAAGACATATTTACTTTTTTCTTTCAAAAACTTAAATTGTGTCTTTTGTCTTAGAGATTGCAGATCCAGAGATGCTTCTGGAATGTAAAATGCAGAGTTGAGAGGAGATTTAGAAAGCTTACAATTTTGTTTTGTTTTTCAGTTGTTGTTTTATTATGCATAATAGTTATTATTATATTTACATGCTGCTTGATTCACAGTCTCTCTGGACTTAACGTTTTCACTGTTGACTAAGGCATTCTTTTTTCATTGCTATTTAGGAAAATTGCCCTTTTGTGCTATGGGAGTGAGTTCTGTCATTCATCCAAAGAATCCTTACATTCCCACTATACACTTCAATTACAGATACTTTGAAATTGAAGAGGAAGATGGTAAGTGCCATTGTTGCAGCAGATTGTGGTTAGTAATCTACTTACGAAAGAGCAGGACTTGAGACCATGAAAGTGAGAGAAACAGGTTTATTGGATGCTACGCCCAGGGCAGTGATTTTATACCTTTAATCAAACTTCGTCAATCAGAGGGCGTTTAAAGAGGCGGA